CGCTGTAGAGTAAAACAAATATATACAGGAGAACGGTGTCTGTGCTCTGAGGTGGAACAGCAGACCTGGGAATTCACCTAGGGCACACCCTTTTTGCTAATGTCAAGTATGTTTCTCCCTAGTGGAGCCAAACAGTCCTCTGCGACTAGGCCCGGTGCCTCATGACTCTCCCAGGTTCCAAAGGGAATGTCAGCTCTTACTGATTTTATAGTGTCATATGGTCACCACATGACTTTGTTTTAAAGATCTCAACATGTGTGTGCATGCACACAAGAAGGTATCCAGGTGTTGAAACACCGCCTCTGGCAGTTATCCAATGTTGATAGAACAGGGTTAAATAAATAACTTTTTCAAAACTTTATATAGTAGAAAATGACAAAATTTCACCATGTGAAAGGTTTTCCCAGCCTGCCATACATGTATGTGTGAGCTTATGAGTTCATGAGTTCATGAATGTAACTGATGGTGTAAATGATAATTAGTAGGTGGGACTTCAACAGAGACCACACTGATTCTCAAGAGCCAAATCTCTTTGGCTCCTAGAGTTACTTTTTTACTTCGTTTCATTTGGTGGTGCTAACTGACTCACAGACTAACAGAGAGCAAGGACTAATTATTTGTTTCTTTGCTTGAAATGATTACCTGTTTTAAGTCAGACACTAAACAACTCCAGGTTGCTTCTAGCTGGATCCATTATGGACTGTGATCAGGCCAGAAGTGGCACCATTCTGAACTAGTTAGCAGCTAGCAGAGAAATGGAAATGACTACATCTGTCACCAGCTGAAAAGCTATGCCAGCTTTTACCTTCTTGTACTGAAGAGGCTCTGAGGGAAGTTAATAGCTTATCTCCATCTGTCCCTTAGCCCCTACCAGCTGTTTTACTGTGGTCAGTTCCACCTGTGGACTAAGAAGGAGAGTGGTGACAACACGTAGATGCCAAGATACAACGATCGGCCACAACATTTAAACCACTGACAGGTGAAGTGAATAACATTGATTACTGTGTTATAATGACACCTGTCAAGCATGAGGATCTGAGCAACTTTGACAAGGGCCATATTGTGATGGGTAGACGACTTTGTCAGAAGATCTCCAAAATGGCAGGTCTTGTGGGGTGTTCCTGGTATGCAGTGGTTAGTACCTACCAAAAGTGGTCCAAGGAAGCACAACTAGTGTCCCGGTGACAGGGTCATGGGCGCTCAAGGCTCATTGATGTACGTGGGGAGCGAAGGCTAGCCTGTCTGGTCCGAACCCATAGAAGCGCTACTGTAGCACAAATTGCTGAAACAATTAATGCTGGCTGTGATAGAAATGTGTCAGAACACACAGTGCATCACACTTGCTGTGTATGAGGCTGCGTAGCCACAGACCGGTCAGAGTGCGCATGCTGACCCCTTTCTACCGCCAAAAGCACCTACAATGGGCTTGTGAACATCAGAACTAGACCCTGGAGCAATGGAAGAAGGCGGCCTGGTCCGATGAATCAGATTTTCTTTTACATCATGTGGATAGCCGGCTGCATGTGTGTCACTAACCTGGGGTAGAGATGGCACCATAATGCACTGTGGGAAGAAGGTAAGCCAGCGGAGGCAGTGTGATGCTCTGGGCAATGTTCTGCTGGGAAACCTTGGGTCCTGACATTTATGTGGATGTTACTTTGACAACCTACCTAAACATTGTTGCAGACCAAGTACACCCCTTCATGGCAATGGTATTCCCTAATGGCAGTGGCTTCTTTCAGCAAGATAATGCACCCTGCCACACTGCAAACATTGTTCAGGAATGGTTTGAAGAACATGACAAAGTGTTCAATGTGTTGACCTGCCCTCCAAATTCTCCAAATCTCAATCCAATCGAGCATCTGTGGGATGTGCTGGACAAGCAAGTCCGATCTATGGAGGCCCCACCTCGCAACTTAAAGGATTTGCTGCTAACGTCTTGATGCCAGATACCATAGCACACCGTCAGAGGTCTTGTGGAGCCCATGCCTTGACGGGTCAGAGCTGTTTTGGTGGCACAAGGGAGATAGTATTAGGCAGGTGGTTTTAATGTTATGGCTGATCGGTGTAAATATTTTTTTCATTTTTTGAGAGGTGCCGGGGCAGCAAACATCCAGTGGTCTATTCCAGTTCTCTATTCAATTTTCATGGACTAAAATATTGTCTTTATAATAGTGTTTTGTGTCAGATAGATAAGTATTCTACTTGCGGCACTGCAAGTATAACTCAGGGACTCTATTTGTATGGATCAGTCATATGTGTTGTGTTCATAAAATCTACTGCCTTTCAGAGACCTTGAAGGACGGGATGGTTGAATCCATGGTTGAATTCTGGAGAGCTGACTCTCTATGACAAGTGTGTGATCAATAATGGGTGCTAAATGAATAATTAGTGAGTTCTGCAAGTGGGAAACCTAAGTTAGTAACAATTGTTTCAGTGTTTTTCAGTGCTGTATTTCAGTGTGCCTGCTTGTGTGTACTCTCTTTTTCCTCTGCTTATTTGCTTTCGCCTCTCCTCTCTTGACTCTCAATCAGCATTATTGTGACCTAACAAATCAGAACAATGGGTAGATGAGACCTAACCAACTGGAACTCTGCATAAGCATACATAGCAAAAGGGACAGGGCTTTGGATTTAAAATGTGCAATTTAGAGGCTACGTGTTAGACAAAAATGGCTTGCATGGTTGCATTGTGGCCTTGCTTCTTTGTGCCTGTATTTTTTTCTACTTTGTTAATGCTCTTTGTTTGCTCGTGTGGTTTGTTAATCTGTCCATTTTTTTTTGCGCTTCATCACCCTGTTGTCACTGAATTTGTGTAGATTAGCTTATTGTTGTGGCTAATACCAGTAGTTTTTCTGTTGTTGTTCACATACAAAGCGACCACATAATGATTACAGCTACATTTTATTCATTTGGCACACATCTTTACCTAAAGTGATACTATCCAAGCACATAGCTGTTATATGAGCCAACGATGTTACACATACTGAAAGACTAAGTTTATTCCATTTGACCAGGCAAAAATAGTTACAGGCCCAAAAGAACCACAACTACACACATTGGTTGAAGTAAGCGCTGAAACTCAGGAGCGCTACTAGTCACAAAGCCATCTGTAAATTAAAAAAAAAAAAGGAAAACATTAAAGAAGACTAACTTGTAATTGAGTACCAAATTATACACATAAATGCCAAACAACAAGGGTCATCAATCATATAAACAGGTAACAATAGAGGCACACCTAGATACAAATATAGTGTTTAGACTAAATTACAATTACATAAGTTGACTTCAGCCTATAGTGCACCATTATAACATCACTCTGTCCTCTAGTGTCCATGTTACCCTGGGCAACTCTTTCAGGTTTTTTTTTTCCATAATTTACATAAACACTTATGTGGGGTTATTTTGTGTTCATAACCCTTGTTATGAACATGCATGCCCTGTGTTCACCGTGGTAATTTGTACTGAACATGAATATGCAACGTTGTATGGTTTTCTTTTCTTTCTAGCTGAGATAAAAATATGAGCACAGCTTTTGCTCAGAGTGGTCACTCTGACTTATTTTCTTTTCCCACTGAGCCTTAAGTGCCTTTAAGTCTGATTTATTATTCTTGCCTGAAGGCTCGAACATGTTGATTGTATAGACCCCACTGCCACAATAAACCTGCTCCTGACAGGTGAAGCTGTCTTCTTGGAGTTTGTTATTTTGACCTAGCAGGGATTCTCTCACAAACTCTACAAACTTCCTATATATAAGAGCGAGTACCACTGCCTTCTCCATTGATTTTTTATGACTTTCGTAAAGAGCACGTTAGGTAGGTAAGGAGCCAGTTAAAAAAAAATTTGTAGGCTATGAATAAAGGTGGATATGTGCACAAGAGAGACATATTTAATTTCAGGGACACTAGTTTTCAAAACTTTATTCATAATGTCATAATTTCACCATGTGAAGGGTTTTCTCAGGCTGTTACAAATTAAATGGTTCAGTCTGCTAATACTAGTAAGGATCATGTTCTGCATAGCTGAAAACTTTCAGTCAAGGTTGTTTGGTTCCCAAAAGTTATCATAAGCAATAATAACACAATGAAATATTCAGTATTGTGAAAGCAAACCTGTCAGCCACAGTATTCTCTGTTTCTCTCTTTATATTGGTTTCTTATATTGCAGTCCTTAAAATAAATTAGATTATTTTAACATATTGCTTTGTTTTATTTTGGATTTTTAAGACAGATTGGGAGTCCATTTGCATCAAATGGTACTTCATGTTGTACTTGATACCGATGAAAACTGCTTGAAACCAATGAAAACTGCTGACTAAACTTGGTGGTAGTCTTTCTTTGGCAAGTTTCAAGAAGAGGTACAGGGCTTGTATAGTTTCTTCTAGTTTGATATGGCATGGACAAAACCAAACAATAGTGATTACAACTGGCAGCAAGTTACATCAGTAAGCTGTGATTTTTCATATGTCAATGCAGATATGAAGACGTAACTAATGAATAATACTAATAGAATCTACCACATACTGGTGCATATCTGTTTCTTTTTCATACCTTTTTTTTTGCTACTTATGATTGGTTACAATGTCATAATTGGTACATTTGGCTTTTTCACAGTTATTCCATCTTGATGTTATTCCTGCTGTCAGTGTAGTACATTTTTGTCATGTTCTTCACTGTCCTGTGCATTTGTTATTTGTACTGGAACTGTTTTAGATAGTGACTTGATGGCTGTGACTGTAGCTTGAATATGCCCTCTGGATTATGACTGAATTGCCAATCATGAAGGTATATTCCATAGTATACAGGCATATGATTTATGTTATTGTTCTTTCAGCTGCTCCCATTAGGAGTCGCCACAGCAGATCACCTTCCATTGTCCACATACTGATTTGGCACAGGTTTTATGCTGGATGCCCTTCCTGATGCAATCCTCCATTTATCCAGGCTTGGGACTGGCACTGAGAGTGGACTAGCCTGCACACCCCCCAGTGGCTGACTTTGGTGCCCAGTGTGGGGCTCAAACCCACAATCCTGAGATCTAATGTCCCATGCTCAACCAACTGAGCTACTGAGCTCTACCAGCCTGGCTATAAAAACCTATTGACTTTGATTTAAGGTGTGGTAATATACTATTTATAAGCAAGCAATATGTAGCTTACTAATCAAAGACAGAATGTAAATAAAGATTGAATGTAAATATATGTTCATAACATTAGTAAGAGATAAATTAGTAGATTCATTAAGCGATTTGAAAACAAATATATGAAAGTTTGGCAGGGTTTCTCAACTCCAGTCCTAGGGATCCACTACATTATAAAGATTCTCCCAACTCCCTGATGAAGCTCAGAAATGGCTTCTCACCTCATTATTAGGAGTTTTGGGAGCAGAGAAAGCTTGAAAATGTGCATGGAAGTGGGTCATATCATCATATAAAATTGTCCACCTTTATTATACTGTCTTTGTTCATGGTTTATACCATTTTAAGCCCATCTCATACTGTTTATATGTACAGGCTAATATATTCATTGGCTACTTTTGAAATCATGACAGGGTTCTCCCTAGGCTTTCAGAGGGCATAGGTGCTGTCTGGGTTCCAGGGGTGGTGGTGGTTGGGGGGTTTTAAATGATTCAAAGAAACTTTTAAGTTATTTTAAGTTTTTTTTTTTTTTTTATGTTGTTTTCATTCACTTTATTTGTGAAAGAAAGCTGGCAACACTTATTGTACTTACAGTCAAAAGTCCATTCATTTCACTAAATATCATCTTTGAGATTTAATGAAAATATATGTGGATTACCTTAACACATAGGAAGAATAAACATGTTGAAATACATATGTAATTATTTTGAAAATGCAACCAAAGGGCATAAAAGAGACAGAGAATTTCTTGATTTATTTCAACATTTATTTCAACTGCTGTGTTCACACGTAACATCTTTTTTGTGTCTTATATAATAATTGAAGAGCACATATATATATATATATATATATATATATATATATATATATATATATATATATATATATATATATATATATATACATACATACACACACACACATACAGTACTGTGCAAAAGTCTTAGGCACCCTATTTTTTTTAGCAAAAGCTTTGTTATAGATTTTTATTTTATGATTTCTACTTCGAGTCAATACAAAAACATTTTAGATTTCCAAACATTAGTTTTCCAGCACAAAATTAAATGTTACAGAAAAATGTTTGCTGCAAAAATAAGAAGCAAGTGTGACAGTCAAAGTCTCCAGAAGAACTGTGGCTGGTTCTGCAACATGCTCAGTAAAACTTACAGCTAATTTCCTTATAAAACTGCACAAATTGCACCTGAGACTACTATTATTTTTTAAAAGCGAAAGGTCCTCACACCAAATATTGACTTTGTTTCATTTATTACTGTTTACTGCTCTTTATAGTATTTTTTAATGTAGAAAAATTTTATTTCATTACTTTTGAAGGCAACTTTGCTCTACAGCATTTCTTTGCATGTGCCTAAAACCTTCGCACAGTACTGTCTATGAAAAAACACTTTGACCAGCGGTTTTCATCAGAAAAAGACGTTACAAGTGAACACAGCCTACCTTTGTTTAGCTACCAAGCCACGTTAGATACTAATGTTAGTTCAGTCGAGGTATCTTTATGTTACATCAACTAAATAGCTTCGCTGGCTAACATAACTTAATTTGGTACATGAATATCTATGTAAGGTTAGCTAGCTAGCTTAGCTAGGTTAGCATTTTCTTTAGTTGTAAAATAGGCTACATTAGATATCTTTTCTCTATCTGCTATCGCATTTGTTAACATCCACAAGAATTACTCCGTGACAAAAAAAAGTTTAGACTTCATTTATTCTTTGGTGAGGTTTACCTTATTGATGGCTTGCAACTTGCTTATCTGATGGTTGTAACTACCATCCTGAGCTGATGGTACAGAGAAGTATCCAATCAGCTGTTTGACTAGCTTGGTGATGAGCATCTGTCACACACCAATCACATAAACCTTTGTCCAAACTCTGATTGTTGATTGGCAGGTCATTCCTGTTGCCAGATTACCTTTCCATTTGAGATCAAGCCGCCTCTCCATTTTTTTTTTGTCAGAGCTTTGAACTCTCACAGTTGTTTTTACATTCATTCTGATATGTTATATGCCCCTTCTGCTCCTCCTCGCTGCCTGACCCATCCTGATGCCCTACTTCTGGTTGGAGATCTCATCGGTTGAGTTCACTCGCTGCTGCTGGGGGTGGCCCCATATGGATGGCCTGAAGAACTGTTTGGATTGCTGGGGATGGTGCCACCTGGGGGCTGTGGAGATGGCTTGGGGATCACATATGGGGAGCTGTACTGTAATGGCTTGGGACTGCGATTGCTGTAGTGGCTTTGGGGCTGCGGTTGCCACGAGCAGCTTCGTACTCA